TGTGTGGGGGGGTGGGGGGGGGTGGGGGGGTTGATAGGAGGTTAGGTTAACTTTCAAATTAAATATCATAATGCCTTCTTAGACTTCTCGCCGACACATAGATTTTATTTCCCCTTTTTTCCCTAGAACAAATCCCTTTAGAAGCCCAATGTCGAATTGTGATATAAGTTCCAAGGGCATTGCTGCGGAGTCATTAAAATGGAACGAAGAGTGCAAGCATACCAGTGCTCCCATTAGATGTCGATTGGATATCTCCAGCACTACTGATTAGAGCAAACAAAGAAAGGTTAGGATGATAATCCAAGCAGAAAACATTCTGAGGGAACTGCTTTGAACTCAAACTGTGAGCTGACAAAATGGAGGCACTTGGATCCTTGCTGATCTCTATATCATGCATCCAACCATCTGATATTAGGACACTGAATGTGCACCTACAAAAAAGATTTCATCGAGTAAAGTCAAAATGTATGGAGAGGCTAGGCCAGTGCAAATATAAAACATAATCACTGAAGAGAGAACCTCAAATAAAACTTCAAACACTCACAAGCAAGATTTCTTCATATAAGTGTCGTCCAGCACAACCAAGCCTACAATTGGTAAAGAGGCATTTAAATGTCTCTTTGTAACTCTGGTTATTTCTTCCCCATTAGCTTTCATGAAATAGAGTGTATTAGTATCATCAGCAACTCCAAGGACCTCATGAGCTTCTGACCAAGTTCCACATGTGAAAATGCCAGTATTCCCACCTAACGGATCAAAACCAGCACGGAAGGTAAATATTTACAGAGAGCATGATCCAAACATCACCATTTGATTAGCATGTATATTATGCTTCAAAAAAATTTTAGCAATAAAATTACACCTTATGCAGCAACCCTCCTAAAACCCCTCCACATCTAATATTCCCATGTGATGCAATGTAGATGAATCAAGTTACTTTGTACAGAGCATCTATTCAAATTTATTTTAACAGAGATCTAAATCTTACTGTTGAACATTCCAACTGGCTCCTGGTAGTCATTATCCTTCTGCAAAATTGTTATTTGATTTCCAGAAGCTACAGCAACATGGTCACCTCTTGCGGTGACGAACAAGGATACTAATCGTCTTAATCTTCTCGGCTGCCTATATTCACTCCATTTCTCTTTAAGTTGAGTAATGCCTTCCGGATATAGGAATAGAATGTTGCATCAGTAAGAATCAATTAACATATATATAATGACCGATATGTCATAAAAAATCAGCAAAGCCCATAAAACTATGAAAGAAGATGACAAAGAAACATTTCTTTATAATACGTAGCGACAATTCTTTTTCCATACAAAATCGTGGCAAGAATAAAACAAAATCACTCCAACATTAACTGAATTTAAGTCCACGATCGGAAATAAACAGAAGAAGATGTATATATATTTAAAACCAGTGAAAAAGCATAATCACCTTGAATTGGAAGATATGAAAGTAAACTCCCACTGCCACCTTTGTTCAGCTATAATCATCAAAATTAAGTAATTGAATTAACAAAAAAATCAGAGAAAATGTAATTCTACGTTAAATATAATTCAATTAAAAATTGTACCTGCTGTTGAGGGGGATAATCGGAGGAGTAAGGTCTGGAAGCGTGATTACGAGTCTCGAAAAGGACTTCTCGTACTGATTCCTCCATGTGTAAATGTATATACCTATATCTACAATTTATAAATAACAGCTAACTTTCCGTGGGTTTTTCGTCAAGATCTCAAACCCTAAGCCCCAAAAGGCGCACGGAATTTTCTGCATAAACATCCGAGAGAGAGAGAGAGAGAGAGAGAGAGAGGAAGAGAGAGGTCGTGGGAGATGTGATTTTCGAGATCGAGGGTCTAGCGAGACATTTCGTTGAAGAGGCCCGGTTCAGCTTACGTTAGTGAAAAATAGCCGTCTAGTTTTCCTTTTTTCATTTGAACACCAAAAATCCATTTCATTGAACTAAGCTCGTGTTTGATTTAAATTAAAATTAAATTTTTAATAGATTTTTTATTAAAAAAAACAGATGAAATGTATGTCTGAAAAATTGTGAGTTTCATAAAATATATAATTAAAATTCATTATTAAATTTAATTTAGATTTTATTCTAACTTTTTAGTTAAACCAAACAATGGATAATCTTTAGATACAGCTAAAGCACACTTGTAGTTGGTTAGATTTTATTTTTATTTTTTTTACAATACAAAATTCACTTTTTCAGTTTTTTCATATTATCGACTCCGAGCGAGTCTTTACATGCTTTGATGAATATTATTAGTTATCACAAATCATAATTGTCGAATGCCAATATTTTATTAGGACTTAATTGATTGTGATAGTAGTTTCTTCCTCTTATATTGCACGAGTGTAGTAATTAATTTCGTGTTTTGATATTAAATTTTTGGCTAATTAGCACAAAAACGTCCCTACCTTTGGGGTTGATTTTGGAAACCGTCCATACCTTTCATTTCTTGGCATTTATGCCCCTACCTTCAACTTTTTGTGCGCTCAACGTCATTTTCTCAACTTTTTAACGATTTTACCCCTCATTCAATTGAAATAACAAGAAAAGAAAAGAAAAATTAAAGAATTAATTGCAATGATAACCTCAAATTTTTAAAACCTACTTTTGAGTCACAATTACTAATTTTTTGTCCCCAACCAGCCGCCAACTTCGGAGCTATTTTCAGCCACCGTCCGACCACCAAAACCACCGGATACTGGCATCAATGGAAAGCTCTTAATCTCCTCTACAATCACCACCCAACAACTCCCTAAAACACCAAATAATCTTGCCGAAATCAACTCTCAAATTCAGCCATTCGAAAATCTGAAAACTACTGGAATCTCCTCCTCCGGCCACCACCTTTGATGGCCAAAAACGCTGGCCAACCACCACCNTTGTTCTTCGCGCTGGCGGATTTGGGCCAAGTTGAATTCGGATGATTTATTGTAAATTGGCTCAATTGTGATGTGACCCATGTGTTTTCCTTCATCAATTATAGGTTGGGTAGGTGAATCGAATATTTGTAGTACAGAAACATCAAAATTCGTCGACCCAAACTACCTGCAGAGTGCGCAAACTGCAACCATAAAATCATGGCATTCAGAGAACAATTGGGCTTGACCTAGGGGTTGGGGAGGTGCGCCAAGAGATGAGGAGTCCAAGCCATGTGATCCGCGACCATGGGTCAAGTTGTTGGCGCCGGAATCGTGAATGTTCGGACCCTGCAGAATGTTCTTCGATGCTGTTGTTTTTCTGGGTTTAATTCAGCGTGCTGTGGTGTTGTTTGGGTTAAATTGATGGCATAGTTAGTACCTTCTGGTTGTGGGCAATTGATTGGTGAAGAGTTCCGATCAAATGGGTGGCCGGAGGTGGAGATTCCGACGGTTTTTAGATTTTCGAGTGGCCGACTTTGAGAGTTGATTTCGGCAAGATTATTTGGTGTTTCTGGGAGTTGTTGGGTGGTAATTGTAGAGGAGGTTAAGAGCTTTATATTGATGCCAAAATCCGGTGGTTTTGGTGGTCGGAAGGTCGCTGAAAATGGCTTCGAAGTTGGCGGCTGGTTGGGGCAAAACATTAGTATCTTGTGACTCAAAAGCAGGTTTTAAAATTTTGGAGTTATCATTGCAATTAATTCTTTAATTTTTCTTTTCTTTTCTTGTTATTTCAATTGAATGAGGGGTAAAATCGTCAAAAAGTTAAGAAAAAGACGTTGAGCGCATAAAAAGTTGAAGGTAGGGGCATAAATGCCAAGAAATGAAAGATAGGGACGGTTTCCAAAATCAACCTCAAAGGTAGGGACGTTTTGTGCTAATTAGCCTTAAATTTTTGTTTGACATTTGATTTATTTTATGGTTTGCTAAGGAACCGTTTTCAATCACACAATAAAATATTATCCATGTATACAAAAAAAAAAAAAATTCATACCTTTTGACCATACGTTCTCCTAAAAATTACTATTCAAAACTATTTTTTTCTGCCAAAATGGTTGTCAAATGGACAGTAAGATAGATTTGATTTCGTCATAGATAAAAATTTAGGGACATGTTTGACGTGCTATATTAAATCAGATAAATATAAAAATAATCATATCTAATTCATTTTCGCCATTTGGGACAAATAATATCCGTATGTAATCATATAAAACTAAACATTTGGATACGTTCTCATACACAAAATTGAATTAGACGAATAGATTGAGGGAGGGAGGTAGGTAGGATTATAGAGGACACAACTAGAGATGATTGTGTTAAAAGTGGACTGAGAATGACTCTTTTAACATGACGTTTGGTGTTATATTGTATTAGAAGACCATCAATAAATGAATCGACATTCTATTTTTAGCTCTCATTTTCTAAAATTATTTTTTCGGCAAACCCATTCTCAACCACACATTTCATAGAAATAGCGATTTAAGGAGAATTTGTGGTTAAAAATTAATGAAAAGTTTTGAATTTATGCGTAATATTATTTTATTAAAAAATACGTAATTGAAAATAAGAAAAAGAAAAATATATTTTTAAAATAATGAGGTTAAAAGCAATCAACTTTGTCATGTATTTTTTTTACTTATAAATAAATTATTTACATCATTACACGTGTGATTTTTTTTTTACTTGTGATTAATTTTTTCACTTGTAAATAAAATTTTAATTTATAAGCAAGTCGTTTAAGTTATTAAGTAATTTTTTTACGTATTACTAATAATTTCTTTACTTACTTGTGTTCGATAGATATTATTGAAGAAATAAATAGCGATACGATCAGAAATATGTGGTTAAAAAGTAAGGAAATTTATTAATGTTATGAAAAATATTATTTTATTGAAAAATGTGTACCGTAAGCATAATTTTTTTTGTTGTAAGTAAATTTTAAATTTTTTTTAAAGTATTAATTTTAATAGGAGTTTACTTCATATGTAGGCCTGTTTGAGTCAAATTATTATAGAATGAGAATAAAAAATATAGTTTTTATTAGGGCTTATACAAGAGATAGAAAATTTGAATTTAAATATTGATGTGATGGATAACGGTCATATTTTTTATTTTAATGAGATAATAATGTAGATCAAACGGTTGCCTAACCTAAATCGAATGTCTTATATTTTTATATTTAAATCATCCTCAGACGATAAATATCGTATATTCCACTGTTCTACGGAGGGCCGCAAATAGTAATTTTTTTTTCCCGTAAAAAGGTTTGAATTCCAATCCAATTCCATTTTCGTTCTGTTTGTTATCTGATTACCACCCGCTCAGCTAGGGTGAACAATTTAGGAAATAATAGTGCCTTCTCTCTCTCCAGGAAAATTTGTTTTTCTAGTTGAACAAATCTCGAAGTTAATGCTGAGATGCTTAATTTTTTTTTTTTTTTTGTGGTTTACCGCATTTTGGCTTGAAATTGGCTTTTGTATCGTGTCTTCTTTCGTATTATTTTAATCGAAGGCCTGAAATTTTGTAATTTAGCTTCAGTTTTCCAGGTTTGCTCAACAATTAAACAGGTGGGTTTTTGTGAACTTTTCAATTGATTCTGGAGTTTCTTTACTTTTGATTAAATTTGACGAGGGCCTTTCGTTAAATTATGGAAAGATAGGGAGAAGAAACACAAGAATAATTATGAAGCTATGGAATTATCATCAGAACCTTTAATTTAATTATGAAACAATCAGTATGAAAATATTATGGTTAGCTTTCCACTAATATATAATGTAAAAGCTTATTTTCTCGGAAGTATATGGAAATAAAATCATCAATGTCGAGGAGAATGTGAAGTTACTGCTTTGTTCAGAAGAGGATTCAACCTTTCGGGGAGCTTTGGATTTTTGTTCCTTCACAACTCATCAAATGAAACTAAAACCATGTTTATGCACAGACAACTGTAGTCCTCTAAAATATGGAGTAGCTTTGCAAGATGTTTCCATCATGGGCTTCCATAACTTTGTCAATGATTAAGTCAATAGACTGCTGCCTGACATTTATTTTCTGCTGCTGCTTCTTTTGTTAGTTTCATTAATGCCATTTTTATTTCCCCCTTCACAATGTAAGTTTAGATGGCTGGAAGAAATCGTATCCCTCATGAAGCCTTTGATCACCGGCGTGGTTTTCCCTCAGAAGTGCTCGTTGCCCGGGGTCCTTTGCCCCGGTCAATGCATCCTCACCCTGCGCTATTAGAGGAAGAACTTGAAATGCGACACGTTGAACTTCACCAGCTTCTAGGAGAAAACAGGAGACTGGTTGTAGATCGAATTGCTCTAGAAAGAGAACTAGGTGCTGCGAAGGAAGAAATTCGCCACATGAATCTTGTCATTGCTGATATTCGTGGTCAACAAGAAGTTCAATCTAGGGAGCTTATTGAACGTGTTATGAAGCTGGAAGCTGATCTTCGTGCAACTGAGCCTCTGAAAAAGGACTTCATGCAACTTCGAACTGAATTTCAGAGGCTGAACTCCCTTAGGCAAGATTTATCTGGGCAGGTCCAGACCCTGAAACAAGACCTAGCAAAATTGCAGGCTGATAACCAGCAAATTCCTCTTTTAAGGGCTGAGATCGATGGGCTGGGTCAGGAAATTCTGCATGCTAGGTTTGCTGTCTTGGCTTTGGAATAAATGTTTGCACAGCGATTGGTTTAAGTGGAAACTGTGTTTTGGTTTCCATGGATCATATCAGTTCTGCTTAAGCTATGGTTTTTTTGACTTGCAGAAGTGCCATTGATTATGAAAAGAATGCACATATTGAGCTAATGGATCAGAGACAAGCATTAGAAAAGAACTTGGTGAGTATGGCACGTGAAGCTGAAAACCTACGTTCTGAGATTGCAAGTTCCGATGGTAGAGCATGGGGTGCAGGTAGATACTGTCTTTTAGACCGCTACAACCTTTACTTCCATGGTCATTGGACGTGATATTATTTTTGCACGATATTCAGATACTCCTTTAGTTTATTTTTCAAGTAGAAGCATTGATGCATGAGCATGTTGTTATGCCTATATTCAGTTCGTGGTTGTACGTGTTGGCAATACAAAGATGGTTTAGTGCTGATGGAAAAAGTCCTATTTACAACTGTGTAAAATAAAATCTGTCTAGAGTGTTTGTGGTCATCTTTTTTCACCCTGCTACTCTTGGAGTGCCCAATGTATTATTTACTTTTTGGTGAAACTATATACATGCCTTTGCATACAGTTCAAGATATTCACAAATTTAGCTGGCCAAAATTATTTCAACGGTATTTTAACTTTTTCACATTTTGACACATGGTTTTACCTTTATGGAATCCACACAGTTTAAACCCAACTAGTGTTAAAACTAACTCTTCTCGAGTTCTTCTCATTTTGCATTAATTCAAAACTAGCATATTTGTGGCTTGGAATTTTTCTACGTTGTTAAAATTTCTGACCACGTGTTTGCTGAAGGCGGACCTTATGGGAAGAAGTTTAGCAGTTCTGATGCCAGTTTTCCTATGCATTATAGCGATGGATATGGGATTCATCCGGTATGTATGCTACTAACATGATAATGCAGACATTTGTGTTGTTTCTTTTAAAATCATTTTTGGAAAGGACCGTCCTTTTGTATTAACGTACATCTTTTTCCAGGGTGCTGCAGATAAGGGTATCCTGTATGGTTCGGGTTCTGCTTCCTGGGGAGGCCTTGAAAAACCATGGATGGATCGTCGTTGAGATGTGGATGGCTATGCATCAAGATTCACAGGAGCACACTTGGCTGTCCTGTTTGTTGCTGCATAATAGAAGAAACAGGCTTTAGCATTTGTTTCATGAAATCGTGCGTACTTATACCTGTAGTTTGATACATTGCTTGTTTTCTTTACTGATCTGTGTAGGAGGTTAAGGGTACTTTCTTTATCTAATGGTGCTGTGTTAGTATTCCTTTATGACCAAAACTATGACTAGTATATAAGATACTTTCCTTACTCATTATGTGCATACATCATTATGTTTTCAGCGCTTTATTTCTGATTTATTTTGTTTATTATTTATGTCGATTGTATATTGAAATTGCGCCTGAATCAGATTTGTTGGGATATGCTGAAGAATGCTCTATTAAACTGTTCTAGACTTGATTTTTAGGATTGATAATATTAGTTGAGTTGCATCCTGGAAAGATTTTATCATTTTGGTATTGCTTGAGCGCGAGATGTTTAGTCTCTGTAGCAGAAGGAGTTGTCTATGCCACTGCTTGATAGAACAAATGGTGTGAAATAAGGAGATGGTTCCTGATGGTCTTTATAGAAATTTGCTTGTTCATGTCAATACTGAAACCTTTTGTCAGGTTTTCTTCGAGTTGTTGAAGACTTATCTTTCCCGGTGTTGTGATTTTCATGATTGACTGGTGATCATCAATCTATAGGATTTGGATGAGAGTTTTCAATAGAACTTCTCGAATTAGGACTAGTCTTCGGATGCTGATGAAAAGTGTTTGAAACTTGGGCATCTCCTAAAGCCTTCCTGGATATGTAGTCTCAAGGCATAAGTGGAACATTGGAATCAGCTGTGTAAAAATAAGTCGATCAACACCCACTTACAGTGGTGTAGGAGACTTTTACCTTATCTTCTGTGCTTTATTGAGATCAAATTTCTATAGTTAAGTTTCCAGGACTGGTTATGACCCATTTTACATTTATATTCTTTCATTGCCACTGTTCTTGAACATCTTTTAGGTAAACTGACCATTGTAAGCTTAGATTTCCTTCGTGTTGAATGTATGGTGGAAAGTGAAGATATATCTTACATTCTTTTAGATTAAAGCGTTGAGATGGCATTAGAAGAGTGGATGGCTTTGCTGTCTGTCTTTGTGAGCAAAGTCTGGATCATGCCAACCATGTTTCCATTTTTCAGTGATCTTGTCAAGGGCTCATGAAGCGATTTGGTGTGAAGAAGGAAGCGCTGACAGGATGCACCAATTCCAATACTGTCACTGATGAATGCTGATTCTGTTATCGTGCTATTATGTTGCAGACATTATAATTTTGGGAGTTGTGTGTTTAGAAGTGATTATTTCATCACAATGGAGAGCTGTTGTTCTGCTGCAGAAATTATAAACTTCAGGATTTTCTAGAAGGGCTAGCTAGATAAGTGGTGTTTGAGATGTGGGGAAATGGAATTTGGCTGTGTTTTCTATTTAGATTTATTTGGAGGAAGTTAAAAATGTTCTAGCTTGCTATAAGTTTTTTCGGAGGAGTACTTGGATCCGTGTATCTTTAGAATTGCTGGCAGATACAACTAGTGAAATTGAAGAGCTTTTCTTTTTTCTTGAACCTAATTTCACATGTTAATAATTGGTTACATCAGCAATCATGCATTCTCAAGTGTGAATTCTCTTTAAGCTGCCCTTGTTGTGTTGCTCTATAAAATTTATCTTTAGTCTAGCGGTGTCGGCCATGATTATTGTACACGAGTTGCTTCTTAGTGCATCAAAATGATCCTGGATCAACTGAAGGGCATTGGCTAACACGCTGTGGGATGAAGGCTGACTTCTGATCTGAAATTCATAGGCAAGTATCCTCTTGTTTTATAGGTGTTTAATGACTCCTTACTAGTATGTATATTCGTTCTTTATATTTGTATTTAGGTGCTTTTAGATATAGATTGTGCACTGCGCCTTTACGATCCATGTACCCTCTTGCCAATGTTCTTACTCAAGAATTGCCTCTAGTCAGATCACATGCTTAACATTACTCTTTGTGATGAACGTAATTGGACGTTTCATATATATTTTTGGTTCACAGTAATGAGCGCTGGGCATTTTTAAGCTGATTTTTCTAGTTACTTCCCTTCCTTTTTGTTTGACACGACCAAGAAAGCTGGAAGGAAGAAACGGGGAATAAGCATTCTTGATGTGGATTTTGAGAGTTCAATGGAGAGAGTGCTTCTGAACCATTTTGTTTTGCCTAAGGATGTTTCATGTTTCTACAAGGCACTAGCTATTCTAAAGATAAAGAGTGATGAAGAGGATTGCAATGTATTCTTGCAGCTTATCCCAAAATTGAGTTCATTTTCAATAGCAGGATAGGAGAACTAGAGGCACAATTGAGTGAAGGAGACATGTATAGAGGGAAAGAAATCTGTCTTCACTGAACCACTTAGTCACCTAGGGTGTCTTAGTCGGCTAAAGATCTTTTCCCTCTGCCAGTAAATACCTTGAAGTTAGTTTATTGTATTGAGGAATACATGGCAAGAAAAATTGTACGTAGATCCTAGTGACATGGATTTTTGTGTAATCGAGAATCTACACGAAGGTTCTCCCGGAAAAAAATGATTGCTTTGAGGTTTTGAATTTAGTTAAAATCGCAGAGCCTTTGAAAATAACACGCTCCTTAGGTTNCTGGTCAGTTGATGAATCACCTTAGAAAGGATTTGTGGTATTATTGTTCTAGTCAAAAACCTTGAGGGATTACTCAATTCGTCAGGTATTGGGTTTGCTTCTCAATGGTTACCAGTTCGAGTTCCTTCAGGGCTACTGAGCTGAGTACCCGACTGTAAATTTCAGGGCCCCGTGGGATTAGTCTGGGTGCGAGCAAGTTGGCCCGGACATCCACGGTTATAAAAAAAAAAAAAAAATTTGTTCTAGTCAAATTTTACCTCAATTATCTGTATTTGAGGTTGCAGCATGTGTAATCAAACATAATGATAATGTGTTTCAGTTCTATAGCATATTGCTTCTGATTTTGCCCTGGAAGGATCTTCAGTTGGACAAGTGAATCCCTGTCCTGTCATAGACTGGAATTCAGATTGACATGGAATAGATTGAGCAGTGATGCTCTGCACTCTGCTTCTAGTTATTTGTGAGATTATTAGCAGTTTGTTTTAATGGGTTAGTGAGGCCTCTTTTTTTTTATTTATATTATTTTGTTTAGCTTTCAAAAGAAAACTTTTTAGGGGGGAAGATGAAATAAAGTTGAATGTTGACTTTAGTCTAGTGTTGATGTCTGTTGCCTTGTCTCTTGAGATTGTTCGTAGATTGATTACTTTAATGGAAGTCAATTATGTATAAATACTTTTCTTGATAAGTAGGTTAAACGGGTTAGGCTCTTCCACTTTTACGAGGGACTTGCAGTGAGATGAGTTCACAATATGTTGAGCCCCCAAGCTATGTTGGAGTGGCTGAGATGTTCTGATGCCTTTTGTACCATGAGCAGAAAACATTGGGGATTTTTACGAAGCTTCCTCATTCATTGCCACACTTGAGATGAAGCAACAAATTTTATAGAGTTGCCAAGGGGGTGTAGTTTGCTAGTCCTGTAGATTCTTATGGGGCAATAACAGCATAGTTTGAAAGATTGCAATAATTCTTGGCTGTGTTCTGCTGATTACCTTTTATAACAGCTTTATATATTGCTATATTTTCCTTTTTCACTAACAGGGTACGTTTTTCTCCATTTCTTGCAGGTGGGAACCATTAGCCTGCTTTCTCCAAGATTTCCTTGAAGATAAGGTGAGAGGATTGGGTTCGTTTTATTTTAATTTTTGAGAAGTTACATGTTCAATCTAACAACGATCTTAATTCAAACATGAAAGAAAAAAGGGGGTGACTGATTAGTTTTAACCTTAGATTCAATAAATTTGAAGCTTAACCTTATAGGTTCATTTTATTCCAACAACTAAGTCTAGCACGGTAAATCTCAGAGGTCCTTACCCTATTGTTTAGAAAAAAGATTTTTTTTTGGAAGTGAGAACTGCTAGCCTGCTTGGATAAAGTGGGAGCAGATAAAGTGTTTTGGTGCACAGAAGACCTGTGTTGAACCCTCAACCTTGTTTTTGTCAGCCTAAGCATTTTCTCTGTATACTTGGCCATTGCCTCCCTTATTCCCCCTTTCTTCTGAAATCACCATTTGATTTTCTTCGTATCTGGCTTGGGAGTTGGTGCTTATCCAACAAGTAATAAAATTGGCCTAAAAAGTTGGCACCTGAATTATATTCTTAAGAGTTATAACATGTTTGGTGGGGAGAATTGGATAACACTTAGCAATATTATTGTAGGAAACAAAAAACAACAAAAAGTTCAACTCTTGTTCATTACACTTCATACTATCCATTTTGTCCGGCTCTACACACCAAACTTGCACTTAAGATTTGATATATAGAAATTTGGATTGGGAGTGGTGTTGAGCCAGTTGAGGGTAGTGGGGAGGGGATATGTTACCTTGTTAGCTCACCTTTTCGGCCTTTTCTGTTAATTAGCTTCTTTCTGGTAAATTTATAAATTGTTTATAAATAGGAATAGTAATAAAAAATATTAGTGGGTCCCGCAAAATATGTGAATAATAATGAGTAGTCCCGTCAAAATTAATGTTCGACTCTAACTGAATTTTTAAATTATTTATAAATTCGTATCCCATTGGAGGCACAATGTGCTTTATGACTATTTTTTCAATTTCCTTTTTCTTTGTTATTTACTCAAAAGAAAAGAATAATGTTGTTAGTTGTATTTGGATTGATTACTTGGTTGGTCGAAGGCGGCTTATTTTTTAATTGACTTTTAGTGCCTAACTTTCATGCCTGAATATAGTTTGTGAATCCTTGATGAAATCTCTTGAGGATTTCTTTATGTATATAAGTGATTGACATTTCAATCGTTTTTTACTTAGATACATTGTTATAAATTAATCAAATCAATTCATTTATACCCATTTGATTCTCATTATTGTAGAATGAGAATGAAAAATATAGCCGTTATTGGGTCCCACACAAGAGATATAAATTCAAAATTAATGGCTCGATGTAATGAATAACGGTCTTATTTTTCATTTTTATGGAAGAAAAATGAGAAACAAACGGGG